CCTTTGGAATATGAAATAGTTTGACTATAGTTCTTACTCAATTTTTTTGGGGTTCATTGTGCCATTGTACCATGTACCAATGTACCCATAGATTAAGATAGATTGCGCATGAGACGACATTTTTCATCTTGAAAGATAGAAATGAACAGAGATGTTTTAAAGATATTCCTATTATATAGATTAACTAGGTCGGTTGTGAACATTGGCTGTTCTTATGTCATTGAGTACTTGTGGTGTAAATGAATTCTGTAGAGAGAAATTTTAGTTGGTTTAGTTTTTCTCAGGTCCTTCTTCAGTTCTAGTCAATATGATATATTGCTCAGTGAAATAAAATTCACTCCTGAGTGGTTTAATAATTATGAAATCCATTAAAAAACCAAACCACCCCACTTATCATTGAAGTATATTTTGACCTCTAGAAGTATGAGTTCGCGGACTGTACAATAATTAGTGATTTTGCGTACATAAGCTATCTATGTTTATTTATTTATCTATGATTGTACCATTGTACCAGAGCATGCACAGGGTAGTGAAGAAGGTCCGAAATGTGGATGGTAATTAGAATAAATGTAAAAACTGAAAACATCTCCTCTTTATTCTGAGAAGGCTTGGAAAAAATGATTTAGGATTAAATCTTATCTTTGCTCAACATTCAGGGAAGTACACGTGCAGCGTGTATATATATATATATGTATATATATAAACACAGTTTTAGATATTTATACCATGGAATTATTAGCCAAGGTTATAATGCAAGGAAAGTTATTTCAGAGGTGTACGCATCTTTTGTACTGCAGTGTACTGTCTCTGGGCGGTAATGTAAACACAAGACGGATGTCGAAGCCTGACATGGGATCCATCTTTCACATAAAAAATAAATGAAATATTCTAGTCATAGGAAACTATTATGTTAATTATCCAAATTATCAAAATCAAATGCTTTTAACCTCCTCGGATACTAAACGAACACTGAAGCATCTATCCTTGTTTACAAATTCCGCCCAGAGAGAACTTGTCACAATATGTACGCAGAGTATACGCAACTGCAATTAACTTTACTTGCATTACAACCTTGGAATTAGCTAAAACTTTGTACTGCATGCAGAAACCTTAAAACTCCAGTACACTTAAGTTTTGTAAAAAAAAGGGGTTATTAATGATGCTTCACATCTTTTCTTGTATTTGAAATGTAGTCGATTTTTCTCAACTTCTTGTATGAAAATAATAATAAACCATACTTAGATTTTATTCTATTTTATAAATTACCCAAAAAAATAAGACACAAAAGCTAGAGTTTTTGTTTTCTTATATTATTTGTTTACCATGCAGCTGTCCGATAACTCGTTCTTTAATTGAAAATCATATAGCATAGAATTAAATTGAAAAAACAGCGGTAGTAGTAAAAGGAGCGGTTGAGGGTAGACTCTTTGCAGTGTAGTACACTCCTGTATGTCGAGTTCATTAGCGCCTGATCCCATCAGGGTTCAAACATGTGTTTGTTGTCTATTCTGAACCAATAGGAATAGTATGGCGGTAACATCTATCTTTCTATCTATCTCATTATCCAATCAGAGTTATGAATCCTTCAATCGAAAAATGGAAATATTTACTTCTACTGCTGTAGTGTAGAAAAAGAAATGAAACATAATTTTTTTTTTAATATAAAATGTACAGATCTTTATTCAATGGAAACACAAATGTATTATAATAAAATTTTTGTTTTAAGCACTATATTTAGACATTTTTAGTGATGAGTGTGTTTGTGTGTGAGAGAGTGTGTGTATGTTTGTATGGTTGTGTGAATATTCCCATAGTTTATCCTTTAATCCAATGATATATTTGGCACTCCTTGGTCTTATTAGTCGATATTTATCTATCTATCTATCTATCTTTCTATCTATATATCTATTTATCAATCAAACTATCTATCTATCTATCTATCTATCTATCTATCTATCTATCTATCTATCTATCTATCTATCTATATATCTATCTATCTTTCTATCTGGGTATTATGGTTCCTTATCTAAATGGTTTGGTGGAACCCTCAGGGAATTCTCTTTTCTTAAACTATTGATATACAAACCCCAGACTCATATATCTTATATTTCAACCAGGAGTTAAAACATTTCTCGCCAAACAAAATATATTTAAAGTAATTTGGTAATTTCAGAACAAGCGCTGGCTGGCCCTGGCCTTACCCCCCCCCCTCATTTAGCTTGGCGTAAAGGGATCTATCAAAGTGTCAATTTTTTTCTTAAAATCAGATTTAAAAAAAAATTGTGGTTGCCAAATTTAGGTTAAATGATAGATCCCAGGAAAAAATTGGGGAAATAAAATTGCTGGGCAAGATAGGTTTTTATGGAATACGGCGGTACACGTAGGTACACATGGTTTTTTTTAATGATAATTTATGGTCAAACTTGTTTTAAAAAGAATCATTGCTGATACAATATTTTTGTTAAAAAAGAAACATTAGACTTAAATGTGCAAACATCTGTTAATTTTCTTTAATATTTTCGGGATATTCATCTATATATCTATATATCCCTCTATATATCCATCTATCCCTCGATATATCCATCTATCCCTCGATATATCAATCTATCCCTCTATATATCCATTTATCCCTCTATATATCCATTTATCCCTCTATATATCCATTTATCCCTCTATATATATCCATTTATCCCTCTATATATCCATTAATCTCTCGATATATCTATATAGAGAGATAGATGTATGTCAAGGGACATATGGATATATAGAGGGATAGATAAATAAATATTATAAGGGATAGATGGAATTATAGTAACGGATAGATGGATATATGGAGAGATAGATGAATATATAGAGGGTTAGTTGAATATATGTACACATACCGATTCCATTAGCGCCCTATCAACTCAGGGTTCAGTCATGTGTTTGTTGTCTTTTCTGAACCAATAGAAATAGTATGTCGGTAACATCTATCTTTCTATCTATCTCATTATCCAATTAGAGATATGAATCCTTTAATCGGCGGTAACAGTAAATGGAAATATGTACTTCTACTGAAACTATACTGAGCTATATATCCATCCTTCTTGAATCCATCTATCTATTCCGACCATTAGGTGTAGACAGTATATCTAAGTAAAGCTGGCACTAGGAGGCGACAGGATACATTTCCGGGTACTTCCGGTTCCAGGGGGGGTAGTTCCGCTCTTACTTCCGGTCAATCCGAAAACATATATATATATATTCTTGTTTATGTAAATATATATATTATAAATGTATATAAACATGTAGAGCATCCAATTTGTGAGAAAGGAAAAACATTAAAGTTTTAACAGTAAATATTTAAAGAAATAGTCACATATAGTTAAAACCATTTCTTTTAATGCAACGTTAAAAGAATTGCCTGTAAAAACTTCCTACGTCAAAATAAAGTAAATTTTACATTAGAAAAAGATTGAAATCTTACATGTTTTTCATCCAAAACGGGGATTCAATGTATGTAGAATCCCTAAAATAAACTTGATAAGGATCCAAAAGTATGTAGAATCCCTAAAATAAACTTGATAAGGATCCAAAAGTATGTAGAATCCCTAAAATAAAATTGATAAGGATCCAAAAGTATGTAGAATCCCTAAAATAAACTTGATGAGGATCCAAAAGTATGTAGAATCCCTAAAATAAACTTGATGAGGTTCCAAAAGTATGTAGAATACCTAAAATAAACTTAATGAGGATCCAAAAGTATGTAGAATACCTAAAGTAAACTTGATGAGGATCCAAAAGTATGTAGAATGATAGATGGAATTATAGTAAC